ATTATAAGTATGCATACTTAGTAGTTCTTCCTACTATTATTATATATATATATATATATATATATGTATTGTAAAATCTATTGAATACGAGCAACAGTTTACATTAATCAAATAAAAAGTTTTCATTTTTGTTATTTTTTGCTGTCATTATTTTATCATTTGATATTCGATTTCAAATTATTGCCGGCAAAAAATAAATAAACAGAAAATAGTTTTCAATATTGTTTTTTTAAACCGAATGATTTTTTATACTTAAAATGATGTCACTGTGCTAGTTATCAGTTAGTATGCCCCGTAATTGCGGGGGAGGGACTAAAAGGAGGCCTGAATCAGCCAGAATCGTAACTACAATTATAGGGAAATATAAGTAGGAGCCCAATTACTTTTTATGCTGGAGGAGGGGAATCATTTTTATTTTTTGTAGTTACGTTAAATGTTTCACCTGTGGTCGTTATTCAAGACAGCTTTATGACTACGGCCACTTCAAGAAAAGCTTTATTTGAAAATGACGTGTTTTTGTTTAAAAATTCCCATAATATCGGGTACGTAATGCTGAGCTATCCACAACAGCAGTTTTATTAACCTATAATATTACGTCTGTCTGTGATTTATTACGTCATTAGTTTCAAAAATCTCTTCCCGACATGTGTAAGGACAGTCAGAGGTATAAATTACGCACGAGTGTATGAAAACTTTATCTAATGCCCAACGTATTACAAATAGGTCCCTCGTGGATGATGCATGATTTATTCTGTATCCTGAGTAGGCCTACTCGTTTTGTTTTGTTTTTTTTAGCCATGACCATCAGCTAAGATCACCAAAGACAAATCACGGGGATCACTGACATTCGTCAAAGATGGAATTTTGTCTCAAAATCCGTTAGGTATAGCGCTGGCTTTAGAAATAGGGTTTCGATACCAGTGGTGAGCACAGCACAGACAGCCCTTTGTGTAGCTTTGTGCTTAAATACAAGCAAACATATATGTTTGTATTTGATGACTATCTCAAACGGTGTTTACTTGGTTTATTTGCATTATCTTGCAGTAGCTCTCGTGACGGGTGTATACATCCTTGAAATATTTTATAGAAGCTATATTTCAAAGATATAGCCTCTCACAGCGTTTCCCAAGGTATGGGGTGTGCCCTTCAGAAGAATTATCTTTGGAGTGAGGGGAGGGGCGATCGATTAGGGTAAAGTCAGTAATGCAATATTGCAAAATTAAGCGTTTTAATATATTTTTTATCAATGAAAATAATAAGTAATTATTACAATACCTATTGCATTTTAATTTGTATCTGTGTATTATATCTCGTCACTTAACTCACTCTTTTACTCATTTGAAAAACAAGGAAGGCGCGCAAGAAACCATATTTATTAAAGGGGGCGTGGATGACACAAGTTTAGAAAGCGCTGGCCTACCGGATATTTAAAAAAAAAAGTGTAAGCATTTATTCTTGTAAATAAATAACTATTGGGAACAGAAAAATAATATTTTGATGTTGTTAAACGTAGATGTATTTGTTGCTACATGTATTAACACTAAGTGGTTGTTAAATAAACCGAAATTTATATATTCGACAAAGAAAGTAGTTCCTAACTAATCTGTACCGAAACCTGGTGGTGGGCATAGCACAGATAGCCCTTTGTGCTTAACAACAAACAAACGAATATATTCCCATGTTTGTTTGTTTGTTTATTTTCAGGTTTAAATAAGAGTATAAAGTCTGTACGAAATTATCACTCTATTTTAATGTTTTTAGAGAAGGTGAAACTGTGTTTTGGGTTACACTTCACTATCATAAACTGTGTTTTGGGTTACTCTTCACTATCACAAACTGTGTTTGGGGTTACACTTCACTATCACAAACTGTGTTTGGGGTTACACTTCACTATCATAAACTGTATTTTGGGTTACACTTCACTATCATAAACTGTGTTTGGGTTACACTTCACTATCATAAACTGTGTTGATGTGGGTTACACTACACTATCACAAACTGTGTTGATGTGGGTTACACTACACTATCACAAACTGTGTTGATGTGGGTTACACTACACTATCATTAACTGTGTTGATGTGGGTTACACTACACTATCATTAACTGTGATGTAAGTTACACTATGCTATCACAAACTGTGTTATGTGGGTTACACTACATTATCACAAACTGTGATGTGGATTACACTACACTATCACTAACTGTGTTGATGTGGGTTACAGTTACACTATACAATCATAAAATGTGTTGATGTGGGTTACACTACATTATCACAAACTGTGATGTGGATTACACTACACTATCGTTAACTGTGTTGACATAAATTACAGTTACACTATACAATCATAAAATGTGTTGATGTGGGTTACAGTTACACTATACAATCATAAAATGTGTTGATGTGGGTTACTTTACACTATCACAAACTGAGTTTATATGGATTACAGTTACACTACACTATCGTTAACTGTGTTGACATAGATTACAGTTACACTATACTATCACTAACTGTGTTGATGTGGGTTACATTACACTATCACAAACTGAGTTTATATGGATTACAGTTACACTACACTATCGTTAACTGTGTTGACATAGATTACAGTTACACTATACTATCACTAACTGTGTTGATGTAGGTTACATTACACTATCACAAACTGAGTTTCTATGGATTACAGTTACACTATACTATCATAAACTGTGTTGATGTGGGTTACAGTTACACTATACTATCACTAAGTGTGTTGATGTAGGTTACACTACATTATCACAAACTGTGTTGATGTAGATTACAGTTACACTATACTATCACTAAGTGTGTTGATGTAGGTTACACTACATTATCACAAAATGTGATGTGGATTACACTACACTATCACAAACTGTGTTGATATGGATTACAGTTACACTACACTATCACTAACTGTGAGTGATTTTCTTTTAATCAGGGGCGTCGGGAGCTAGCCCAGGCCCCGGGTCAGTAATATCATCGCCCCCCCCCTTCATTCTATCTATTAACTTTTGCTGATTTTTCATAAAAAAAACTTAGGTGACAAATTTCTTCATGAATCCGTGAAATAGCAGTAGCCATTTTAGCTCATTAAGTTGTATGCATTTCTAGTGAGCTTTGGAATATCCCACTGCCGGGCCCCGGGGCAGCTGCCCCCCTCTTCAGCCCTGCTTATAATGATAAACTAAGTTATTATAAGGACTACCACTTCTCTGTTAAGAAGTCGATTGTCTTATCATTGTTATATATATTTTTTGCTTGTTAGACTTTTTTACTTATATTTACTGAATTACTATTTGTTATTTACTGATGGTAAAATAAATGCAACAAATGTGGTTTTCCAATTTATTACTACTTGAGTCTGCATTATACAAGTATTGTAATCTCTCTATACATATATAGAAACGTTAAAAACGTCTTGCTATTTCACCACTGTAAACAGTTTTTGGTTTCAAAGTTAAATAAAGCAACACTCAGCCAGATTTGTGCTTGTACCAAGGCATTCCGTTCAAAAATATTAGGCTTAGTTTCGAGAAAGCTAGAAAAAAATGTGCTGGATATCTGTGATTCTTTCTTTAAAACAGAAGAAGAAAAAATACTCTTTAGAGATTTGTCTAGAAATCTGAAATACGTTACGTCATCAGCGTATTTATATTCTCAAGCAATGAAACTTTGAACTTCAAAATTTATTAAATTGAAATCGGTTAATTCAGAGAAGAACCTAGTGATCTGATTATCGCATCCAATGTTAAAGGTCTCAAATACAAATCTCTTTCTATAGATTATGAAAAATATTTAAGTTACGTTCATGGAAGTGTTCTTGGAGCATTTACTGGCCACGATATTCTTGATTATTAGACTGTATTGATGCTCAAAAACAGTCATTACACAGACTTTGGTTTTCTCGTTACAACCAAAAATTAAAAAAGCGACATTTAGATATGTTTGAAAAAAGAAAACGTATTTGTCAAGTGCAAGAACTTCAAAAAGTTCAATTTTGTTTTAGCATACTCTACTCATTTAATCATGGCTTGGAATTATATGACGTAACACATCTCCTATTTCTGACTCTATTCAGTGCAATATCCCCCAAAAGTGAAAATTTTATTCCTCCAAAGCAGGTGTTGCTTCACGCTCCTGGGCTTCGTTAGTAGCAGATCCGGCAGTAGGAGCTCTTTCATCAGCAGAAGGAGCTCGGACATCTTCGGTATAACTTGGATCAGGAGAAGGAGCTCTGAGGTCTCCTCCAAACTCCTGATCTGCGGGGTCTGGAGAGGGGCCTCTAATATCTCCACCATAAACCTATTTTTGAAGACAAAACCTTATCAGAACTTCGATGTATTTAGATACAGACTTATCAGAATAATCTGAAGAAAATCAGCTCGTTAGTTAAGGTGACGATTTGAAAAGTAACTATTTTATCAAACTCATGCCACCTAAAGATAGTCGTAATGGCAACGATTAATTTACAAATGATCGTATTAAATAAACTTGCTAGCGGGCGTTGGCCCAGTGGTAGAATTTTGAACCTGTACAATAACACAGTAATTTTCCCCATACTATAAGCAGTGGGTGCGTTATAAGAATTACAGTTGTGGAAGAGATCAAATGTTGTTTTGCAGTGCCATCTATATTTGTATATTTTCGTTTGAAACAATTGGTTATTAACATAACTAAGTTTCGCTCATTTGTAGAATGTAATTCTTATTAAATAAAAGAACCTGATTTTTTATATGTCAAAGCTATAATAATGTGTACTTAACACACAAAACAATGCATAAAGGAAAACAATTATCCAATTTTCGATATGAATAATTGTCTATTATCAGCGATGTACGCCATCTAGTGAGCATATATGTGTGTTTGTTTTATTTAAAATATTTCATTTATTAACGAGACCACAAGTTTCAGTCATTCCAGGAAGTTTTCCTAAAAAGTAATAATAAGAATTATTTGTTGTTAAACACACAGCTACACATTGGGCTGTTTATGCTTGCCTACCGCGGGTGTCTAAACCTGGTTTTTAACGTAATTAGCCGTCGGACTTACCGCTGCGCAAAAATGAAGTCAAGGAAAATTCTAGGATCGTGTTATTGATAATGGGTTCAATTTTCAAACGTTGGTTGATTCTATATTAGTTGTTTTCAATGTTCTACTGCTTTCCGATGATAAAATCATTGCTCATGGCCTGCACAGTCCATGAAAAAAGACTATGTATTTATTACAAGTCACGACCTTTTAGTGTATGCGACCTCTATTGGTGGATACAAAAATGAAACTTATTTGAAGATCAAACAAAATATACCACTAATGTAAATAATTTACTGTACAAGACCGATCAACTTGGGTGAAATGTATGTCAGATCGAATTTTGTAAATACACGGCGTTACAAATTCAGTAGTGGGTATAGGGTGAGATTAGTAACAAACTTTAAGGTCAACTCTTAATGAATCGATTGGCATGAGTGAGAGGACAGATTATCATTTTGTATTCGAAGACGAGTGGTGAATCGTCAGCTAGTAACCAAAAACTAATAGTAATAATATAAAATAAAAAATAGGTGTCAGTTAAGTTTAACTTATGAAGAAAAAAGTTAAAAAGTATCAACAATTCACGTCATAACTTTTTAACGCTCAACAGCAGTAAACTCACATCCACTTCGACGTTTTCTCGTCTTAAAGATACTATGACAGCTTATAACGATAAAAATCGGGTTTCGATACTCGCGGTGGATAGAGTACAGAAAGCCCATTGCGTAAATTTATTCGCTAAAAATATCAATTTAAGAGCTAAAACTGACTTCTAGTCCTAGGCACCGTTTGTATTTATGTATAATTAAATTTTGGAATAAAAAATAACCTTTCTATATTCGAATATACTTATTAGATTTGTGTAAAAATAAAGTAACGAAAAATTCGGAGCATATTATTGCACCTTATACACACACACACACACATACATCCATATATTTTCAAGCATCATTTATTACACACTTAAGATCTTGTTTAATCATCATAAAGAAATTACTCTAAACTCTGTAGCGTTATCCAATGTTGTATGAAACTAATGTCTGTAAGCAAACGATTTACTAATTTTTAACTACAAGTAAGATTCAGCAACCAGAGTATTTGTTAGAAAACTTTGTATCTACATTTACATTATCAATGAAGTGACATTCAAACTAGAGAACCAACATTTGGTTTAGTAACATGACGTAGTTTACCATTATAACGTTGTTTAAATATGTAAGTATCGTTGTAAACACCATATACGAATCACGCAGTAATCATAATCTATTGAAATATAGTTTACACTGCATGCATATAAGTGGTGCCATCTGTTGAATATCTGTTAAACTTTCTTTTCAGTTATTGCGTCCATGCCGATATCTATATTTATGGTCATATTCCATTACATTGTATCCCTTTATAAACTTTTTATCAATAATTTTGCGTTTTGTGTAGCAGTTTTCGAGGATATAATAAGATTTCTCGTAATAATTGATTTTTAATCAAACCATCTGGCCAATATTCAGATTCAGTGATATTCAATCTGTATGTAAAAAACAAAAACAAATAAACAAACATACATGAAAGCAACCAAGTTACAGTTTCTTCAATACACACGAAGGTAGGCGCTAGCGATGACAGGCCATGATAGTATAAGAAAAATATCTTTTTACACAAATTTACAAACAAACAAAAAAAATGTTTCTTTTTGTGCAAAGAAAACTGGATTGTTAACAACAATCATGGTTATTACCAGCAGAGAAAATGTACGGCTTTTACGTTGAAAACAGTAATAAAACAAGAGGTATTTCTCGATAGTTGCGGCACTTGAAATTCTTTTAGGCGGGATTAGAGTAAATTAATCTATGATACTTTTTTTTCCCCCTTTTTTATTAGCTATATTTTTGTGCCCCTGCAATACCAAGCGTGGGGCGCGCGTATACCCGATTCACTTTTATTACTCATCAGTATCTCCACCGCTTACCCTCAAATTGAAATTATTTTAGGCAGAATTATAGTAAATTAATCTATGATACTTTGGGTGTGGTCAAATACATCAACCGAAAGAGTTTGATCTCCTGAGTCCAAAACTGTAATTAAATATCAAATCGGCCAAGAGATGATGGAGCTATGAGCTAAAAGTTGGTACTTGAAAAAAACAACAAAAAACTCAGAGCCGATATGCCGCGGTTAAAAAAGGAAAAAAAAGTTGCCTGTTCTACGTTTTCTCTTTTTGATCCAAATAGTGCTTCTAATCCTAACCCCTAATGATTATTAACTAGATAATGGATAAAAAAAAAAAACTATTACCAAAATTTGACTTTTCAGACAACTGAAAACTTTACTCAGAAGTAGTTGTATTTTCTTACACGTCGCATATTTCAATAGCTCGAAATCTATTCAGCCTGTCTGGCTTACGGGTTTAATGTTATTATCAAACTATACTTATCTAATATTTCTGAGCTGTGTTCAAACAAACGTAGTAATTACAACGATAGCACGTGTTCCAAGAAACCTTTTCATATTTTAGGTAGTGTTGCTTTAAAAACCTGTATATATATATATATTATTTCTTTCATATTATGTAACCTGTACAATCAACTATAGCTACATGATTTTTTTCATGCTATTCTCTAGTGTGACCCTACGTTCTGTCATGCTACATTTTATACACCAAAATCAGAAAAGGAACTAAGAACTCACAGCAACAAACTTTATTGCTAGTGCAATAAAAAAAAAGACAAGACACTAATGATGCTTATTAACTTAATGACGCACAAGTTTTTTTTTATTTAAAAATGAAAAATAAATAAAGACAAATGGTGAAGATATAATAATGTGGCTAAAACATAAGACAATGCAGACAGAATTTAAATAGAAACATTTATCCCTCAACCTCAGCTTCACCCTCCTCTTCATCAAACTCTTCATCCTCATCTACGGTTGCATCCTGGTACTGCTGGTATTCCGATACTAAGTCGTTCATGTTTGATTCTGCCTCCGTGAACTCCATTTCGTCCATGCCTTCTCCAGTGTACCAGTGGAGGAAAGCTTTTCGGCGAAACATGGCTAAAGCACAAACAAGATTTATTACTGATGATATACACGTACACATACGTTTCATCTAATTTTCAAGTATGAGCTTCATTTAGTGAAAAATACCACAGATTTATCTACAAGTAGCAGGTACAAAAACTACAGACATATTTCCACAACTTCATTATTTTACTCATATTTTAATTTTAAAACTTATTGTGACAGAATGTTTTTTTTAAATAAACACAAGTTCTGTGGAAAAAGGTTTAGTTATGTATCTTTGAAGAGCCATTTAAAAAATTCAAAATAAACACAAGTTCTGTGGAAAAAGGTTTAGTTATGTATCTTTGAAGAGCCATTTAAAAAATTTCAAAATAAACACAAGTTCTGTGGAAAAAGTTATGGTTTATGTATCTGTGAACAGCCATTTAAAAGTTTATTTGTAAGCCTTGATGAACTTCTGGATAAACGTGCACCGTTTCACAACCTTAGAGTAGAGTGAATATTATAATTAATTCTCAAAAACTCAAAAAGTGCAACACTAAACAGCTTCCATTTCAAATTCATGATGTACATTTTAGTTTAAGTTCATTTTCTAACAAATGGTTGATCAATTCAAATAATGTAATTTTGTGACGCATTCACTTAAATTAGGTTCCTTAATGTGATTATTTACAAATAAATATTAAAACAAACGAGCTTTTGTCACAGTTTAGCAAAAACTGTACAAAATAAAAAAAATAGATTTTATGTTTGTTCATGTGGTTTTAAAAGAAAACTATGTGTGTGTGTATAACCTCATAAAACTTTGAATTGTTCAGTTTATAATCATTGGAAAAATGTACTTGCATCTAAAACCAGTCAACTTCAAAATCCATACATAAACTGAAAGTCTGTCACATTTTTGTATTTGTTAAATATTTTCAACTGTGCATGTAAAGGTATTACCAGAAGCTAATAGATACATCATTAATATTGCTAGCTGGCATTTATAGATGTTAAAATACATAACGATTGTGTTGCTTACGCAGTAACCTTCGTACTTTGATGTTTGCCATTCTAGTTGGTTAAAATCAGAACTTTTAATTTATAGTTCCTTTAGAAAGTAAAACAGAAATAATACTGTAGAATTTAAACTATAAATATTAAATGTATGGACATCCTATTATTGTGCTGAAAAGCTTGGACTTGTTATTAAGAAAAATTTGTTTTAATAATTTCCAATTTCCTTTACGGAGTGAAACACTTTTCCAGTGTTCAACTTCCTTTAATTCTAGTTAAGCCTTTTCTGTTTTTATATATTAGTGACATATTGAATTATAAGAAATACGGAAATTTAAAAACCTCATGGGTTATAAAGAACAAAAATCATTGTTAAAAAACAACTGTAACGTGCACAATCTTTTCTTTCCAGCAATGATAAACTTACCCGTGAATTGTTCAGATATTCTCTTGAAAAGCTCTTGGATGGCAGTGCTGTTCCCTATGAATGTTACAGACATCTTCAGCCCTCGAGGAGGAATATCACACACGGCAGTCTTGACATTGTTAGGGATCCACTCCACAAAGTAGCTACTGTTTTTGTTCTGCACATTCAACATCTGCTCGTCTACCTCCTTCATACTCATACGTCCTCTAAAAATGGCAGCAACAGTCAAGTAGCGGCCATGACGAGGGTCACACGCTGCCATCATGTTCTTCGCATCAAACATCTGCTGGGTCAGCTCAGGAACAGAGAGGGCTCGATACTGCTGGCTGCCTCTTGAAGTTAACGGAGCAAATCCAGGCATGAAAAAGTGGAGACGTGGGAAGGGTACCATGTTCACTGCAAGTTTTCTTAAATCTGCATTAAGTTGACCTGGGAAACGAAGGCATGTGGTAACACCAGACATAGTAGCACTAACCAGGTGGTTAAGATCACCATAAGTTGGAGTAGTCAGTTTGAGTGTACGGAAACAGATGTCATACAAGGCTTCATTGTCAATACAGAATGTTTCATCTGTATTTTCAACAAGTTGGTGAACGGAGAGAGTTGCATTGTATGGCTCTACTACTGTGTCTGAAACCTGCAAGATTTCATTTTCATATAGCCACACTAACATCCAACCATAATATTCATACCTAAACACCTAAAGTTAAAGCTTAAACTTTAAAAAAATCAGAATTTAAGGCGAGCATGAAAAATAGACCGAATATAGCATAGATGCTTTGATTACTTCTTAATATTAGTAACAAAAAACATCTTGATCTAATTATTGGATTTCCTTTGAATGATGATTTGACACAAACAGCATCAAACTACTGTAAATCGCACACGCTTCTGTTACGCCATATTAAGATTATGACTAAAAAGATAAATCGCTAGTTTCAATCTAACTGCTGAATGAAAGGGAAAATGAAATTCTTTTAATCAAACTGTTTTAACATAATATCAACATTAATAAACCTGTTTCAGCTATACAAGTGTTGCTATTAGAAAACCTGTTTCCTTAATTACAACTACAACAAAAAAAATGAAAGAACGGTAAATTAAAGATGAATTACCCTACACCAATATCTGCCTATAAAACAAAAGAAATCCATCTACAATTTTTTTCTTCATCAACTCATAAAACAGCAGTGTAAGATATACACAGTAGTTAGTAATTTAATATTATACTCACAAAGAAAAATAAATACTGATATGTGGACCACTAAAAAAAACAAATAACAAGTGTCCATTAGACAGACCTATAATTTTAGTGCAGGATTTAATTATTTGATATAGAATCTTTCATTAATCCCATGAAGAGATGTAGAATTTAATTTAAATATGAATCTGTGTTGTGAGTTTTCATGTTCGTTTTTGTATATTCACCTCCTATTATTTCAATCATATATTTTTAACTTTTTTGATACATTTATATACCTAGTTTGTTGTTCTTGTATACTGTTTTAAGCCTGATGAAGTGCATGTGCCCAAAATATACCCAATGAATGAATTTTTATCTAGACACGTGTCCTTTGCGTTCTTCAATAACTGTTGTCAAATCCGTATGCCTGTCTAGTATCTATCTTATAAACACTGTAATTTCTGGATAATTCTATTTACATTATGATGGATGACACGACTATATTTTATAGCCTGTCAAATAATTTTGTCTGTAATAATTTACACTCTCCTTCTTCTTCATCCCCTTTTACTCTTGTTACTGTTTTATCTTGCATTTTACATTAAATGTACAGTTCATCTTCTTATTACGAGTTCTTCTTGAAATAAATTTTTTCTTAACCATATTTTTTCTTTACTATAATTTCATTCTCATTTCTTCTCCATGCTAGTTTCTTTTAGTACACTTAATTGGGTCTCATGCTACATTCATGCAACATTTCTCATCTCTTCTATTTTCTCAATTACAATTGTAATTTAAATTTGCAGTTTCTTTAAACTGTTTATAAGCCTTAAAAAGGGACATGCCCATAACATATCAAATAAGCTCATTTTTATTTACATGTGTTATCTGTTTTTAAGCATACAGGTATGATTAACCCAGACAGAACATTGAGATTGGAGGGGACTACTCTAATACAGAACTCAAGATAGTCAACAACAAAACTGATAGGTTATATGTGCGAGAAAACCACTTTTTCATTAAGTTATTGAAAATTTCCCTCCCTTAATGTTTCAGTTTCAAATTAGACACAACAGAGGTATAAGATATTTCAATACAGCCAATAAACTTACTAAAGATAGTTTCAATTGAACTTTACTCAAACTTAGTAACGATAGGTTTAGATTTATTACTTTCTCTTGAGAAAATCAAGGTAAGGATCAATCTTACAAAGTTACCTTGGGGAATAATAAGATAAATGTCTCTAATTTTATTGTACTGTATTCTGAAGATAATAGGATGAGAGAACACAAGTTTAGGATTTGCAAAACAAAAAACATTATTTTCTAACAGCATAATTATCTTATGGAATTAGTTAACAACATCAGTAGTGGATGCCAATACTTTACAGGAATTTAGAACGAGAACTGGTGATTTCTGAAAAAAAAATAATGGATGAGTTTATATTTTTGCTTAATTCATGCTGGGTTTACATGGACAGCCTTGAAGGACCAAATGGTCCCTCCCTTGTCAGTGTATTGTGTTATCTCATTCTGTTTATTTATAGGAAAACATTTTTTTGTGTTGAGAACGAACTGACGTGAAAACAATAGTAGTTAATAATTATTTCAGACCTTTGGAGAAGGCACAACACTAAAGGTGTTCATGATCCTATCGGGGTACTCCTCCCGAATCTTAGAGATCAAGAGTGTACCCATGCCAGATCCAGTCCCTCCTCCTAATGAGTGAGTCAGCTGAAATCCTTGTAAACAATCACAGTTCTCACACTCTTTTCTGCACACATCCAGCACAGAGTCCACTAGTTCTGCTCCTTCTGTATAATGACCTTTAGCCCAGTTGTTCCCAGCACCACTTTGCCCTAAAACCATCAAAAAATAGAACACCATTATCTTTTAGTCATAATCTTAATATGGCGTAACAGAAGCGTGTGCAGATGGAAGAAGAAGAAAAAAAATCAAAAATGATTTGCACTTTCTTTGTAAAGTTCAAACAAGTCCCTATCCTCTCTGAATATTATTATATTCTGAGTGGTAAACGATATATAAGATTTCATGAAATATGTAGACAGTTTTCACTACAGAAAGAGCACAGTTTAATTTATAACTAGAATCATGACCACAAGTTAATGTTAACAGCACATTAAATGACAGTCAGAGATACCCAAGTGATGGAATAGGCTTATTCTAAAAGGTTGAAACTGTAAGTATGAAATAAATAGTTTGGAGTTACTCAGTTAGTATTTTTGGGTGTTTGTTTGGTTGTAGTTAAGTACAAAGCTACACAAAGGGCTATCTGTGCTCTTCCCATCATGGGTATCAAAACCCAGTTTCTAGATTTGTAAGTCTGCAGACACACCACTGTGCCATTGGGGGGGCTTTTTTTTTTTTAAGTGAAAACACCCTTCAAGGTGTTTCACTTAAAAATCAATTTGTTCTTAGTTTAGTTATTTTAAATCTAAAAAGTACTTTTTAATATGAATACTTTTGCTGAATGGCCCAGCATGGCCAGGTGGTTAGGGCACTCAACTCGCAATCTGCGGATCGCGGGTTTGATTCCCCATCACACCGAAACATGCCCACCCAGTGTCCGGACTAGGACGCCAGTCCTACTCCCGGATACTCACCTCCAAAAGAG